GGGCGGGGGCGGAGCGGGGCCAGGTTCCCCGGCCCCAGCAGGCTTCTCCGTGTGTCACTTCTGTTTCTCCAAGCCGCGCTTCTATCGGTGCCCCGGCCCGTCCCGCAGTGCCCAGCAGATTGGTCCGTTCCTTACGCTAAGTGGGAGTCGATGCTGAAGTCGGGCATCCCTCTCCCTAGGCGCAGGGGAGAGCCCCCGCAGGCCTTTCTGGGGTATTCGGGCTCTTCCCAGGGTGGGGGAGCCTTGGGAACCGCTCCACCCCTGCCTGGGCGAGCTCAGACCCTCTGAGAAACGTGCTGTCGCTGCCAGGACTGCGGCTCTAACCGCCCTGCGTTAGGTGGATGTGTTTGTGTGTTTGATGGCTCCTGTCTTGTCAGCATTTACATTAAAGCCACTGGATAAAGAACAGAAACTGTCCCGTGCACAGGGACTGGAGTTAGAGCCACTCCTTGCTCCCCCATGCTGACAGATGAAATTGCCCCCGCTCCTCTGCTGTGGGCTCTGTGCCTGCAAGCCTGGGTGCTCTGTGCATGGTGGCACAGCCTGGAGAAGAGGGGTAGGAGGAAGCCTCTTTACCTCTCCCATCCCTCCTCTGCCCAGAATACACCTGGTTAAAGAGGCTGAAGCCTGTCCTCGGGGAAAGGCAGTTTGGGAGCTGAAACCCTGCCGCTAGAAGCAGCTGAAACAGAAATATTCTACACATGAGACTATTGCAAATTGAGGGAGAGGTGTTTTCTTTGTGTTTCAGAAGACAGGAGTGATGCCTGCTGAATTCTTTGAGATAAATGTGCAGCTGCCTTCTGTCAGCAGCAAGGATGTGTGTGGGCAGAGGCACTGCCTGGAAGGGAGCTGTGCTACCCCGCTTGGAGCTCTGGCTTCTGTTGGGAGCCCAGGTGCTTGAACATGGCATGTGATGCTTGGCTTCCAGTGGGCCTGAGCCTCCATGAACACCCCTCCAACTGTCATCATTTAATTCACCTTTTTCTATTATTACTGTAAGGAAGGCATGGAGATTTAGGAAGGATTTCACTGATTGTTTCTGTATTTGCACTACAATAGCTTTGGGGACTCCAGCCAAGTCTGTGTCCCTTGTGTGAGGCAGGTTTTGTACAGATATAAGCAGAGGAAATTCTTGTTCTCGAGAGCCCAGATAAGGAACGAGTGCTGCTTTTGTGAAGAGGGATGGGTCTTTCCTGTGGTTCAGCATGACCCTGCTAACCTGGAAAGGGTTAATACTGGTTTTGTAATAATAATAGGCACATATCCTTACTCCTAGATAAATCCCATGGAAATTGCAGCACTACTTGAAGATGAAAATGTTACTATAAGTGGGGAAGTCTTATATAAAGACATAAATTTCTTTCATAAAAGAAATTATAATTATTAGTGGTATTACCCTAGAGCACAGAAAGAAAGCATCTCGCTCATTCAGGTTGCTCAACACAAATCATGCTAAATTGATGGAAAAGGATACAAATATGTAATGCAGCTTAAGGAGACACCCATTCACAAGAGATAAGATGAAGCCAAGATAGGGCACTCTCAGTTCTCTAAAGCTGCTGTAATCACTGAATCACAGGTCCTTGGGCCCCATGGCAGAGCGAGCTCTACCCTCACCACTGTTCCTGCGATGGAGGCTCTGCACCTCCCCGGGCAGTCTATTTCTATGCTTCTTCATCCTTATCATTTCCATTTCTAACCTGACTTTTCCTTGCAGCACTCTCTCAGCACATCACTTCTTGTCCTCACTACCATGGACCTGGCAGTAGTCTGTACATATTTAATAAATTTCTCTTCCATCCATTCCCTTTTCTCTTTCTCATTTCTTAGGCTAAACAACCTCATTTCTGTCATTTTTTTTCCTCCATGGGTCACATTTTCTAGGTCTGGTTGTTCTTTTTGCTTTGTTCTGGGTTCTGTACAGTTGTTTCATGATTTTATTTTCTTTTTTCCCCTCTGTGAGATGCCTACAACTCAACTTGGTTCTACAGTGGAAAGATATCTAATGTCTAATGTCTAAGAAAGATGTCTTAGGACCTGCACTCCTATTTATATATCCTGTGGGATGTCTGCCTTCCTCCCATCACAGGCCTGTCCACAACTGATGACCTACTGAAACTTCTTTGCTGTCCTCAAGGCCTGGGCAGGTGCTACTTGCTCCGTAAGCACGTAAGAGCCTACATGACCTATCTGGCATTTGCCTTCACTAAAATGCATCCTAGCTTTTCTGTCCTGTATGCCCAATTTGCTTAGAACATGTTGAATACTAAACCTACCCTCTTCCATGCCAGCAGTTCTCCCCAGCTCTGGGCCACCCATGTGTTTGGTGAACCTCTTTGGTGGTGATGGCAAAGCAGTGCCTACTCTTTAGGTAACAGTCAGTGTGCATATTTCTTGCATGTATTTCTGAATCTCAGCCTCAGAAATACCAGACACCTTTGTGCAGGCTTACCAAGAGGGGACAAGATCTTTCTGAGCACAGGGACCCACAGCAGCAATGCTCTGGGCTCTGCGGAGGAAGAAGGAAGGCTGACCATCCTGGGGAGCTGGAGAGGGATGAGACTGCCAAAGCCCTGGTTGCCACCAAAGGATGGACGAGCTGGGGGTCCAACAAAGTAATTTCACACATGCTTCCTGAGTCCTGTAAGTCCTGATGGGGCTCAGTTGGCCCTAGATTAGTACCGTGCATTATTGAATCTTTGTTGCTATTGGATTTATTTTTTTTTTTTAAATAGAGCTAAAAGACTTGGCAGTGTCACGAAATCACTAAAAGCCATTTAAAAATAATACTGTCACTAGCAGGCTTTTGAAGGATGAAGTCAGGCAGAATTCATTCCTCTTCTGTCACCTGAAAGTTTATGTCACACTCCTCTCCTCCT